GGGATTAACAGATTTGTTGGTGCAGACTTTTGGGGTAGACGTTTTGTCGCTTGCGGGGACTTGTTCGGGGTTGATGGGGGCCGCCATTGCAGGTGGTTCGTAGCACCAGACAGCAGCAAGATTACGGGTGTTTGATTTAAAGTCTTGGGTCCAAGCGCCCGACCACAAACGACTCTTTCATGAGCCCACCTTCAGGGGAATTATGTAGCATTCAGATCCTGATTATTCTATAACGACTGCATTTCCTTGCAACTGGGGAGGGGTAGACAGCCCTGACGGTAATGTTGAAAGGACTTCCTAGCCAAGCCCCTTGAAGGAGCCCATAAACGAACCCTGTACTTGGAGGATCAGGGGACTTAGTAAGTTAGGTTATAAGTACCCTAATCGGGGTTAGAATTAATTGTAAGTATGGTGCCTTAATTATCACCCTAGTTACTAAGTCCCATGGCCCTTCAAGTAGAGGAGCCCTAAACCCTAAACCCTTCATACGAGCATGATTTTGGCTAGGTGCCATACTTTGATACTTAAGGAACCATGAGGAGCCCTTAACGGAAAAGATTCTGGGAACCCGGGCCAGGCCTCTACGGTCGTGGCCTTCCAACCTCAATCTCCCGAGGCCATCCGGAGCGAGTCGGGTTTAGGGTTTAGGGTTTAGGGTTAAAGAAGGCTATATACGAAGTACCCCTAAGAAATAGTATTTCGAATTACTTCACTTTCAAAGAGAAGGCTAAATTCTCCTTCCTCAGGGCTCCTTCGTACAAAGGTAGCATGTTTGTTTGTTAATCCAGGGGTGTTTTGGAAATATTGGTTCTACGGGTTCCTTTAAGCCCTAAACCCTAACCCCTCAGGGCTCCCTAGTATAATGAGAGCCTGGTTTAATACAGAAGTTAATGAAATAGTTAGGAATATTTGTCCCTCGGCTTCCTTGGTATACAAATAGTATAGTAGAATATACCCCTAAAGCCTTTTCCAGTGGGTTTCAGGTTTAAGCCTACATGCCTAGGGTTCCGTCTTTTATCTGATTTCCCTATGTACTGCCCTAGTGCAGATTTTGGCCGGTTTTCTCAGACACTCTTTTTCTCTAGAAGCTTCCCTCTTCTGCCGTTAAGATCCCTCTCCTTGACATTGTTTCTTCATTTAGGGGCCTAAAGGCGGTGTCAGGCTTTTGGCGGCGTTAAAATGACCAGGGGTCTCTGGTGTGGGATTTACTGCGACAGGATCCTGATTCTAAGGGCCTCCGAAGTCAGCGGAACCTTTGATTTCGAAAGGCAAGCTTCGGCAAAGAGGATTAACTTCTTTGAACGATGCACTTTGCCTATATACATGCTTTGCAGAGAAGAACACTCATCATAGGCTCGTACTGTCGGGAGTTTAAACTGTGTTTGGCCCATGGGAGGTGAATGGATGAATGTTGATCTAGGGAGCTCGCAAAGGTTATCTGAGTCGTACTTTCACAGAAGTAACGGTTGGCTCCATGGTCGGGTGCATCGAGTGTAAGGCCCGTGTCATGAATGCAGCCGGGACCTAATTAAGACCTTAGACACCAAGGCCTAAACCCAGTCACAAACCACACAATGTGTGCAATGGCATGCCGACTTCCTGTACCACATGCACTGGCTTTCTAACTGGTTCTCTTCTGGAAACCCATGCAAAAAAGCAACTTTTCAGCGCAGCGCTTCTACACTCAAAGTACAGATAACAGTTGCAGGTGCCTTAAGGGCTACACCCTCATCCCCGAGCCCCCAGAACCAAAGTACCATAACCGCTATTGCCTCAATACTCTAAACCCCGATATCCTAAACCGATATGCCCTGACTCCTAAGCCCCAAACCTTGACCCCAACACCCTAAGGCTCTTGTGGATGGGTGCCACAGATTCCGGTATGCTTTCTTGAAAGCAGTTGAGCTGTTCTCCAAATTAGGGTCCCTTTTCGGCTCCTTTGTATGATTAAGGGTGCCGTACTATTTGGGGGACCTACAAACGGACCCCAATCTAAAGAGCTACCCAGTTCTTGACACTGCGATGTAGTTGCCCCCTTAGTTTAGAGTTGTGCTTCTTCGGATCCCTGACATATTCCCTAACATAGTACTTGAAAGGAGAGGTCTTTCCGGTTTAGGGTGTTTAAGCTTTAGGGACCTTGGGCGTTGGCCTTTTGGTGGGGGTCATCACAAGGTGGGGGTCATCACAAATCAGGGGTCTGCAGAAGTAGTGATCCGTTATAAGTGGTTCCTGGTTTAGCGAAGTTGCAGCCGTCGGTGTTGTGGCTTGAGGGTGGGTTGAGTGTTCAAGGTTTAGGATGCCCTAAACCCATGCTGAAAGAAGAGCCCTTATAGGAGCCCTGAGCCCTTCATACGAACCCCAAACCCTCAATGGGAACCCGAAGCCGTTGTTGTGTCTTCTCAGGTGGTCAAAGCTATGCAATCCGTGCTCGACGGTACATATCGCAAGGCAGGGCAGCATTCACTGAAGCATAGGGGCCCTAACAATTTTAGTAGGGTTACGGTGCATGTATTCAAGCTTCCTCCAATTCTGCAAGCTCAGCCCCAATCTCGGAAGCATAGGCCTAACATACAAGCCTGGACACTTGGCACATACTGCAAGTCTGTGGGCCACCTAAGCCAAACCCCATTCTAACCTTTGAAGCCTCCTACAACCGCACCCAAACCCCCACTCTAGTCATGAAGGCCGCGTCAGAGTTCGGGCGGAAAGCTTATGCCTGAACTAGTAAGTGTGCTGCGCAACCTTTTGGGGGATAACAGCATCCGTAAGCCCTACACTAATTAATGCCCGCCGCCCTAGCATAAAACTGCAAGTCTGGAATCTGTGGCGTTTAAGACCGCTTGTCTCCGACCAACTAATGACGCCCACAAAGGCTCCTTTGAACGCTGCCTGAGGCCTTAGGACTCAGGGGCTAGGGTCCCAGGGCTTAGGGTGAAGGGCTCCCTGAAAAGTCCTGCAGAAAGCCCCTGAATTACCCAGAGACTCCAATATCCCTTAATTAAAGAATATTCCTTAAATTATAATAGGATCCCTAAGGGATATTGGAGTCTCTGGGTAGGCTTGCGTCTTGTAGTGTCCTTGGTTACAGGTCCCCGGACTCGATGAACCCTATCTACCATAGGGGCTTACATGATTACATACACTATTTTGGGGGTTCCTTATTATAGTTGTAGTATCGTGGGACCCAAGACCCTATTCTAATTACTAAGGCCCCTCTATTATCTAAAACCGTTCCGGAACCCAAGGAGCCCTCAGGGCTCTCGTCATCGTCACGTCCGCCCTCTCCCGCTGTCTCACTATCACCACCACCATCACCACCCGCACCGCAACAAGTGACAGCAACAGCTTCAGCAACAGCACCCAAGCAGCTTCGCAATAACCAGAGAGGGGGGGGTGTAGGGGGGGAGTTGCAGTGTCCATGAAAGCACCAGTATCAGCGCATGGTTCAGGTTCATGTTTAGGGTTGAGGCTCCTACTGTTGGTGATATAAATCCTGCATTACGCATAAAAAGGAATATACCATTAGTCCCATAGGTTGGGGTCCTTAAGGTAATGCAGGGTTTATATCATCAACCGTATGACCCAAGCTGAGAAACCCTGAATCGTGCCAGCCCTGAGCGGTCTTATGCTTGCCACGCAGTACTGCAATATGGGGCTCGGAGTAATTACTCATAGTTATTCCTTTTAATATCAGCCGATTATAGCTCTAAGTACTCATAATTATTCCTTTAAAATTTGCCGATTATAGCTCTAAGCTAGCATAAGACACCCCTGGTCCTTGAACGAGGAATAAATAGACCATATGGCTCTCTCAGGAACCTTTGAAAGCTTCTCACCGTCCCTTTTGCAATTGTATGACATCCCGGGCAACTCCATCGAAGAGCAAGTGAAATCGCCCATAAAGCGCTGGACAGTAAGGTGGACAGGATCATGTCTTGGGGTGCTTTGGTGACGAACCGGTGAAGCTTCAGAGTTTTGCATTGTCAGAGGGCACGGAGGTTTGCGGTCTAGGGTTTTTGGATTCTAGAATGGTTTGGATGATGAGTATGTATATATTTTAAGCATGATTCCGTAAGATCCCCAAACAACAAACGACCCAGATACTCACGTCGTTTGGGACCTAGGGGTCGTTGAAGGCCGGCAGCTTCATTCAACATAGCCTGCTCATTGATAGCATTCAAGGGAGACAACACAAAGCGCATGGCCATGACCGTTGCTCATGATGATTGCTGAATCTACCTTTTCTTGTTTTTGGCCCCCCTAAACTGTCAACCCTAAGCAATGAACGCAAAACTTAAACTGTACGCTAGTCACACAGGTCACGTCGCCGTGTGTTACGCAGTCCCGCTTTGAAGTGAGGAGCTCCGCAGCTTCGCAACCATAGGGGTGCTGCCATCCGGAGAAAGAGAAAACCTGATTTACGGGAAGTTTTTGGGTAGGTGTATGTGGCCTCTAGGCCAGGCATATCCAGGCATTGTAGTCTAATCGCACTAAGCTTGTCTCGAGTTGAAAAACGGTTGCGGTTAGATGCGGTGCTGCGTCGTTTCGAGCACCCTAAAAGTATCCAACATCGATGTCCAAGCTTCATCCTCAGACCCCACCGTCGGCACAGGACGCGTGCACAAAACCATGCGGCTTGCGCAGTCCGGTCTTAAGACTTCAGCACAACCTCTGCGTCAGTTCACACAACATATTGGGCACTCAAGCTGATGATTCAAGCAAGGCACAGCCTCATGGGTGTTGAGCCGCAATGCAATGTGTTTCCAGGCGCGACTGAAGAGCATATCCCGGGCTGAACAAGCACAAGCATTTTAGTTGGCTTGGAGCAAAACGCACCGTAGTGTTGACCATTGGTCATGGCCGATGCCAGATTCCTGCCCAAGGAAGCAAAGCACTGTGTTTGGTTTTGATAATGAACAGATCAGTTTGGCCAAGCTTCAACCCAACCTAATTTTCGAGTCCTCAACCTTAGAACCTACAAAGCGAAATCAAGTGACCAAATGCCTCAGGTTTACACCCGGGATCGCCGAGGGGCGCCAATCCCGGACCGCTTCGTGGTCAAGGACGTTCATCGAGTGTTGAACGACCAGGCAACTTCAGTGTTTTTACGGCATAAGTTCAAGCTACGGTTGTTTACTGTAGGTTCAGGTCAGGTTGAAGCTTCAAGTCGCCGATGATTATAGCAGTAGTCAAATTCGAGGGGTCAGGAACAGAATCGTGCTGCACAGAAGTATTTTCAGAGGAACTTGCAGGATATGCAATCGTTGTACCGGCAGTCCCCAACCCGAATCCGAGCCGTGAGCCGCCCCTTCCTTCTTCAGGCCAACTATCTGAAATCGGTTTGGGTTTCCGGTTTCAGACTCTCATGCACCTGGCCACACACTACGCGGCCAGAAGACTGGTACTTCCATTTACGGTCAATCCCTGTAGAGTTTACGGTGGGATATTTGGGCTACTTGTTTAAAGTTCTTGCGGATGTTTCGACCGCAGACATCGAGTGATCACATACGTGACAAAGCACGCGCGTGTGCTTGAATTGTGTCGATGTTTATGGTATGCCGGTATGCCGACTTGGGAGCGTGTGCACGGAAAAAGCAAGATGATATCCAGGGTAGGGTCGCGTGTTCATCACAGGTTTTTGCTGGTTACTTCGGTGTTCGTACTACTCGATGATTCATGGCCAGATTGCCGCCACCCCACCCGGACATTTTGCCCTGTAGACCAAGCCTTTCGAGGGCTTTATTGGGCTCAGGCTTCCGGGTCGAGGGTTTCGACATTCCAAAGCTGCTGAAGTTGTCAACCTTGCATACTTGCTGCAGTCTGCAGGTCTGGCGTGTCCACTGGCTGCATTTTGGCGACTGGGTAGTGGGTTCCGCTACACCCTTACCCCCTCAAATATAAACAACAAAAACCTAAGCAACAGCGGCAAGGTCAAAAACACGCAAGTCCAAGAGCCTCAAGGATAGGATATCATGAGAGCAAAACGTGAAAAACAGCTCCCAAGTGTCACCTAGTAATCTACGGACGCATGAAGTTAAGAAGGCCCTGAGCTCAAGGGCTTCGTATTTGGAGCTTACAATCTGCACAGAACTCGCACAGTACATGGAAGGTTCTTAGACCACAGGTCAGGATTAGGTTTAGGGCCGCCCTTGAGAACGTTTCGCGGTTTTTCGACGGTTTAAGACCGAGATCGCAGTGATGTTGCCGAACTTACTCAAGCTCAGACATCGAGGAGACCCTTACAGGTTATAATATAATTGTAGACAGCCGTACAAAGACAGCATGAAACACCGAAACCGTCCTTTACCCCAAACCCCAAGACCTCAATCAAGACATTTAACAAAAGGTCCTTTACTTCATGGGGAAGCCCCAAGCCGAAAATGTATTTTTCTGGCATTGCAGGTTTTACATGCTTATCGCCGGGTTGTTTACATATTTGTACATACCGGTATATGCATCTGCAAACATATTCTGCGTATATGCATTTGTATGTGTATCTGACCTGTATGTGTATATATGTGTATATATGTACCTGTGCGGCCATAAACGGTTTTTTTTGCAGCTTGAGTTCTTGCCTCGGGGTTCTCATTTTTCCGAAGCTTCCAACTCAGCCGTAAAGCGTCATGGTTCCGTATGCTGATCATCATTGCCCTTTCATCTTTTCGCTGTAGCGCAACCTCCGTACAAGCTTTCATACTCCCCGGGCCATGGTACGAAACTGGAAATACTCGCTTTTCCGAATCCCTCAACCGCCTGTATATGTGGGGATCTTTAACCCGAGGAGCCAAACCCCTACACAATTATACTCCAAACCCTAAAGTGGGGCCGAGCATTTCGAAGCTTGCTTTTATAGTGGGCGTGTGTCGGCCTTCTAGTTTTCTGAAACTGGGTTCATATGGAGAGTCTGAGAAATCAGGTCGCCCCTCAGCGAGGGCTGACCTTTTGGGGTTGAAGTTTGTGGGCTGGGTTTACGATTTTGGGTTGTGGGCTTGGGTTTCGGCGGTAGTGCAGGTGCCAAGCGGCTCTACACGAGAGTAATCGGATGTTTGAAGCCATAATACCAGTAGTTATCGTTCTGAGTTTCAATAGCTCTTGCTGATCATGACAAGGAAAGAGGTGTGACACAACGCACAACGCCCCAACTCTAAACCGTTAATCCGAAATCCTTCCCGCACCCTTCGTTCAATGGGCTTCTTACTCGGAATCAGGGGTTCTTTCGTGTTTGGCGTGTGGGGCAAAGAGGGCTGCTTATCATGAAAAACCTGGACTCCATGTCGCCTGCAAGGAATAATGCAAATGGCATAGCAATACATAGCAATACACAATAGAATATAGTAATACCATACACTAGTATATACTAATACACAGTAATATCAATAGGGATATATATATATAATAAATATATATATATATATATATATAGTTATATGTATATTTATATTGATATTTATATTTTATATTTTAGATATATATTTATATAGTAATATACATGTGTGTATGTATATATATATATATACACATAGATAGTTCTATATTTTTTGTTTAGTAATACAGACTACTATAGAAAAAAAATCCTGCAAGGAATATTGCGACACGCGGGAGAAGATCCGCAGCAAGTTAAATGGAGAGAAGCCATCGCTGCCAGATGGATCCCACACGGTGAATGTTCTTCAAAAGCAGCTCGATTTAGGGTTTAGGGCTTAGGGTTAAGGGTTTATGGTTTGGGGCAGCTGCATGTAAAACCATGCGTTTAGGTTTAGCCCTTGCAGCATAAGAAGGAAATAGCAATTATGACTACTATCGGGTCATTATTGTTGTAGCGGTTGCGTCTTCTGGCAAACCGCTATTTGCAAGTATGACGGTGCACCATTCATTCCTTTAAGCTATGTCCGATGCTTGTGCCGATTAACACCGTTTGGGCCTGGTTTCTGGGATGCCTCCCCCTAAATGGGAGTTTCCGAAAACAGGGGACCCTAATATAGTACCCCAAGTATTGGGATCCTGATTATAACTATCCCAAAATAAGGTACCCCAAATTTCCGGAAACTCCCACACCCAACCACAAAACGCAACACGTAGCCCAAAGATCCTGTTCCCGGGTTTAAGTGTTCGGAGACCATAAGGGGCAGGGGGGGGTAGTGGACTATACTTCCTTAAATGGGCCTTATTCGGTCCTCATTACGGGCATTAAGGCCCCCTACCCCCCCTCCCCCTACCCCTGTAAGGGAGACCATGCCCCTCACGGCCCCAAGACCCTGGCATCCAAGCCCGACGTATGAATCATTACCGGGCATGGGGCTGCAATGGTACAGTTGATGATATAAATCCTGCAGTACCTTTATGACCCCAGACTATTGAGATGGTGGTATATTCCTTATTATGGGTGATGCAGGATTTATATCATCAACCGTATGTTTACAAACCATCCTTATGCAACATGTTCCCACAAGGGAGATTCCCTAGTGCATGATGAAAATGTTCGCAGGGTTCTCGGCAGTTCTTAAAGCAAGGTATTCTGGGAATTTATGATTTCAGCCTAGTATACGGGTTGGCGGTCCTTGGGAGTTGATGTATGTAGGGGTTCAAGAAGTTGGCATTTGTGCCGTGAGCTTGTCCTAGGAGCAGAGTAGGTAACCTTTAACCTGTTTGGGACATTATAACTACCATATACCCCCAAAGGTTAACCTTTGCTCCAGGATACTGTACACATAAGCCTTGAGACGTGTCTACATGTACAACGACAGCACTGCTCAGATTCCGACCGTTAAGGGTCATGTGTGAACCCTCCTCTGTTTGGGAGCCGTCCCCGCTGATCGGCAAGGCACAGCAAAGTTCCAGCAGCATTTCACGAAGTTCAACCTGAGCCTTAAGCCGGGAGCAACCCAAGAAGAAGAAACAAAAACGAACCCCGGACCGCATACCCCACCCCAACCACAAAAAGTTCTTTTACAATTCCCTAAAATACCCCACCACAACCACCAAAAAGAGCTGCACAACGAAACGAAACCCATCACATCAAGCCCGAAGCCTGGAACACATCTCCGCCAAAACTCCACTGAAAACCCTGCAGCGGACCTAAACCCTAAACCCCAACTCCTAAACCCATACACCTGCAACAAGACCCTACACCCCAAACCAGGCAAAAAGGCATTGAAAACGCGTAAGTCCTACCCTAAAGGATAAATTGCACTGAGGGGTGGGCTCGGAGCGCTTCCCCCCTTGGATTCAGCCGGGGCCCCTGCTTTGGTGGGTATTATATTTGGAGGGGCAGGGGGCTTAGTAAGCCGTTTATAAGTAGGGTTATAATTGGGGTAACAACATTTAGGGTACTCATAACTCGCCTTAGAACCCCCTCCAAGTAGGGGCTGCAATAATTACCGATACTTTTTTTTTGTTGGGGGGGGGGGGGGGGGGGCTAATCGCAATCAAAGTATAATGGGCCCTAAAACCCCATCCTCATGATGAATTAAGGCCTGTTTCTGGGTTCCCCGGCTTGCCCCAGTTTAGGGACTAGGGTTTTGGGTTCAGGGGTTTTGAGGATTGTGGGTTTAAGGATAAGGGGCTTGGGAGTGGAGTTCGGGGTTCAGGGATTTGGGTGGTTGGGATTAGGGTTTAGGGCCTGGAGGTTAGGGTGTTCGATTTCGTGCCATTCATGTTGAGTTTAGGTTTATCCGGGTTTGGAGTTTCGAGCTCACGGCCCGGCCCGAACAGCATTGAACGGTTTGGGGTTTAGGGCTATCAGTTAGGTACTGCTCCCATACAGTAAGAGTCTATGATTGGGCTACTATTCAGGTCCTAATATATCTATATTATGAATATTATTCAACTATTACTGAGTGTGGGCCGTACCCAAGCTATCAGGTTTTAGAGCAGGTTACGGGTTTGTAAAGGGTTTTGGGTTTGTCGATGGGGTGTTTCCTGCTTGAGGGATCGTGGCAGTTATAGCTGAGCCTATAAGTGCTTCATAGGGGCTTACCCACCCTCGCGATCCTTTCCGATACCTACTTCAAGCATCATGGGGCTGTGGACAGGGCTTGGGGCCGTCTATGACTACCTGTTTGAAGGTGCTTTTGGGGGTATGGGTGACTCTTCATTTTCTTGGTAGCTGAATGATCGGGGGGCTCCTCAAGTCGGCTAAGTGCTGCATTATAAAGCATAGGGGTCATAAAGTATTCCTGTTTCTAAATTCCGTGTTATCAGACTTGGAACCTCGCTTCCAGCCTTTGCGCCAAGTCCATCGTGTATATACTGTTCTTCTCCAAGACCATCGGGTATATACCGTTCTTCTCCAAGATCTGGTCCTTAAACCCGTTGGAATTAAGATTCCAACTTCAGGTCTGTGGAGGATCGTAGTTGGGAGTCTTAGGATGAGGAATGAGGGCCTCAGGCCTTTTGCCCTAAGCCCAAGGCTGAAAATTTGAAGGACTTTGGCAAGGGTCTTACTTGGAGGTTCACGGGTAGCTATATAAGTAGGGCAACTATAATGATAACCCAGAGTAGGGACTTACAGCCCCACGTATAACTACCCATGAACCTCCAAGTACGGTTTGACGGTAGGGGCTATGATCCCTGAAGCCGTTTACTGTTTGTCAAGTTACTGCAGGATTTCGGGCGCAAGGTCTCCAAAGCACTCTCCTGTAATTTGGAAGCCTGAGTAATTGGTAATCTTATTCCCTACGGGCTCCTCATCAAATACATACCATAACCCATACCCCATCAGCGTTTTCCTTTGATTGAGGCCTTGTATTATCTCGAAGCCAGCTGCCCACAAACCCCCAGCCCCAGTGCAAGCAGAAGAAACTCGAGAGAACTGGACTCTTCAGTCAGTAAGAGCGGAAGCGAACCAGAACTTATGGGATTTGGGGTTCGGGCTTTTTGGTGTGGGACCAGAACTTATGGGAGTTGGGGTTCGGGGTTTTTGGTGTGGGTTCTAAAAAGTTGAAGGGTTTCATCCAACCCAAGATGGAGCTCCCAAAAAAAGCGCCAAGGAAGTGAATGAGCATTGGCTCTTCCATGGGACGACTGCCGAAGCTGCAACTGGCATTGCAGAGAACGATTTCCGCAGCGACCTAAGTCAGGTCTGCTCTTCGCCCTACTTAGGGGCTCATGGGACTTGGTCCGCAAGTGCGCGAACTTGTAGAAACTACTTAAAGGTTCATGGGTAGTTATAAGTAGGGTTATAAGTACGCTAACTATAGTTGTAACCCATCATATAAGGGGACTGAAAGCTTTATTTATAACTACGCATGAACCTTCAAGTAATCGACCACGTGCACATATCTAGAGTCTAGAGAGTGCGGGCTGCTGATCTTCTATGTTGCCGCAGTCCCGGTTTAGGGTTCAGGGTTTCGGGTTTAGGGTTTTGGCTAAGACGCCTGAGGCACGACGCAGAAACACAAGCAGAGATTCTTCCCGAACCCCCCAACTGTGGCATCTTTCACCCTATACAATCCCAATGTAGGAACCTGATTCAGAAACCCTGGGCCTATACCCCCCCAAAATAGTAGGATTGATAAACGGAACCCAAATAAAGGCCCAGGGTTTCTTAATCTGGTTCCTACATTACACCTTAAGCCCTAAACCCTGAACCCTATACAATCCTACACCTTAGCAAACCATTGCAGATGTTCAGGCTTGGACCTTTCCGGATCCAATGCTGGAACTCTCTATGGAAAGGGCGGCACCCTTAGTTGGGTTTAAAGTTTAGGGTTGTGCTTGGATTCCTGAAGCGCGGTGATTCGAGGCTTCGTCTTGGGGTTTGTTTGTTGGGACTTATGCTTTACCCATAGGCCCCAAAGTTGTTCCTTTTTTGTGGTTCACATATAGAATCCTAAAGGTATTCCCAAAAAGGAACTGCCATGGGACTTGCCCTTCGGGCAGACGTGCGACCTTTGGCCTTCAGCTGCATTGAGCGCAAGTCTGCAGCAAACACTTCCTGAAACAAGCGCACTGATAATTTAAGATGACCCATATTAGGCCCCTATTATGGGCATTACGGCCCCCTACCCCCCCTTCCCCTTCCCCTTCCCCCCTAAGGGTCCCATGTGCTCAATGCTTTAGAATTTGGGGCTTTGAGGGTTTCGGATTCAGGCCCGTCAGGTTGACGATGTGGGGTCAGGGAGTGTAGTTCCGAGGTGGTCACGGCATTGGGGAGTTCAGGCGTGACTTGCAGAAGTCCAGAAATCCGAAGCGCCTAGATTAGTTTTGAAACTCTAAAGCCAGAAACCTTCTGACCATAAACCTTGAATCCTTACAACGCGAAATTGCGAGCCACATTCCCCAAACACGCCCTGATACCAAGGCTAAGCTGTCAGCGAAGCGTCCCCGGAAGCCAGACAAAACCAGAGCATCGGTCCTACGGTTGATGATATAAATCCTGCACTACCCATGATAAGGAATATACCATAGTTCCCATAGTTTAGGGCCCTTGAGGTAATGCAGGATTTATATCATCAACCGTAGAAGTCCAAAGCCCCCAAATCTGCCACCTTACTTACCTGAACGGCGCAGGGCCTCAGAAGTGTTTTTTGTGGAGATACTAGGATGCCCAGTAGTACCCATATTCCCTTTTTGTAGTCCTAGGTTCCTTATTAAGGCACTCAATACCAAAAAGGGGAACCCTCTTTATTCCCAGGTTACTGGGCATCCTAGCATACTGATAAGAAAAGCCTTACTTCTGATGCCCGTTGGAGGCATCTACCTTGCAGAGAACGCCACAAAGCTGGGCACTCGGAATTCAGGGTTCCTGACAGCGTTTAGCATGTAAGGCTTAGTTTGCGACTCCCCAACAACCTCAATCCTAAAACCCTCAAGTACCCGACCCGAATCCAAAGACCCTTAATCCCTAAACTCAGATCTTAAATCAGGACTCCAGTTTCAGGGCTGTGGCGGCTGGTTTCGGTAAGAGCTGTGGTGGCCTGGAGGTCTTCCAGCAATCGTACAAACCTAACTTGCCCTTGGTTAGTAGGGAATGGAGGAATGGTAGTAATAGTAGTTACAATTATACCCCATTCCTCCATTCCCTACTAACCAAAGGTAGGCTAAGGGGCTTAGGGTTTGCGGCTTCAGGGTTTCGGGTTTGGTTTCTGTTGTGGGCCGCTAGATTTGGAAAGGCTCAGATGCGGGAAGTGTCGAGCAGGCGGCCTTCTTTGCAGCGATGGGCTCTCCGGCCAGGAAAGCAGGGACAAAAACTGACAAAGGAATCGCGCTCGACACTAAAGCTCGTATACACACCTTCTAAAACCCTACAACAACCTATAGAAGCCCTGAATAAAGCCATGAGTAATGTAGGAACCTGATTAAGAAACCTTGGGCCTTTATTCGGGTTCCTTATATGAATCCTACTAGTTTGAGGTCATATAGGCCCAGGGTTTCTTTCTCAAAGTCTCCCCTGGAGGTCCGATGAGTATGGGGAGGGGCCGAAGGGCCCGGCCTCAACAGGGGAGGAGGCGGAGATGGGCTTTGAGGCCGGGGGGATGACATCTTTGGCGAGTTTGGTTCAAGATCGGCGTTAAGGATTTGGTATCAGTTTTTAGGGTTCAGAAAAACCGTAAGATTGGGGCTACGAGTTGGTGTCTAATATGAAAATATCATGAGGTGAAGCCCTGAGCACAGAACCTTTGACCCTGCGCCCGAAGCCTAGGTGGGGGTTTCCGAAAACACGGGACCGTAACATAGTACCCTAAATGGTAGGATCCCCTAAATGTGGTCATAATTATGGTTACCCTACTTATAACCCTGCTTATAACTACCCATGAACCTCCAAGTAGATCCCAACCTCGCGACTGAGCAACCTCCAGAAAGCTTTACGAGTTCCTCGGCGGCTCGCAAGCGGCAAATAACACTAAACTGTAGAAACCCTAAACCCCACAGGCTCAACCCGCTTAGCCCGCAGACCCGATGAGATTTGTAAGGGTCTTACAACTTTCCCTTATGATGAGTTTAGGATTTAGGGTTTCGGGGTTTTGAGTTTAGGATGATCCTATCCTGAAGTCGCCCAGGCTTTTTGTCTTCCGCTTTGCTGGTTCATGGTTTCTGTTTTAGGGAGCTGCAAAAACGTAGGTTTAACTCACCTCTATTTGGATTTCTGCATATTTCTCTTCTTGCTATTCTGTGGACATAGAGTTGCTATTCGTAAAGACTGCTGTGGGGTTAAGAAGTCTTACAACCCAACCACATGCCGGCCTAGAACGCCGAGACGAAGCTGAAGCTCAAAACCATGAGCCCTAAATGGGTAGTTGTCAAAATTGTGGCCCCTTCTTAGGTACCCTAAATATTAGGTGCCGTACAATAATAAGGAACCAAAAAGGGACCATAATTTTGACAACCACCCGAACTGAAACCACGGTTTGGGTTCATGGTGCATGGGTGAAAGCCTGCGGCCTAAATGCAATCGAAGCGAATGCTTCGAAAGAGCGTGGAAGAAGCTTATACTATAAGGGCCGTATTATTTAGAACCGGGTTTGGGGGCACAGTATGCTATAAGTATAATAATAAAGGAACCCCCACCATGACATGGGTAATCATTTAGGCTCCTATATTATCCGGCCTCTCGAAAGAATAAGCAAACAAGCAAACCAGCAAACATAGACTAGTAAGTACATTGCGGAAGTTTGAAAAACTGGCAGAACAAATCAGTAAGTGAAGGATCCTAAACCCTAAAACCCTAAGCCCTAAACCCTAAAACCCTAAACCCTAACAACCTGAAGCCCTAAGCCCTAAGACCCTAAGAACCCTAAAAACCCTTAACCCTAAACTAAGCTATGGCAGCTTCAAAATTAGAGAACTGCGAGGCTCCATAGTAGTTCCTTTTTGGGATTGCCTTATAGGATTCTAAATATGAACCCCAAGAAGAACTGCTATGCAGCCTTACTTGGAGGTTCATGGGTAGTTATAAGTGGGGTTATAAGTTCTCTAACATGGGTTATTGTTATTATTGTTATAGTTACCCTACTTATAACCCTACTTATAACGACCCATGAACCTCCAAGTAGACTCTAAACCCTATACCCCTATAGAATCCTTACAGATCCCTTTAAAGGGACCCTTAAAGGAACCCTTATAACTACGTACTTATAACGACCCATGAACCTCCAAGTAGACTCTAAACCCTATACCCCTATAGAATCCTTACAGATCCCTTTAAAGGGACCCTTAAAGGAACCCTTATAACTACGTACTTATAACGACCCATGAACCTCCAAGTAGACTCTAAACCCTATACCCCTATGTACGTAGGACCTTTATGTATTATTTGACGGGTCTGTTTCCCTTCCAATAATTTCTTACGCCTTTTAAATAATTAAACGGCCCTTTCAAATTTTAAATGGCCCTTTAAAATTGTAAACGGCCCTTTAAATTCTAAACGGCCCTTTAAAATGTTAAAAGGCTCCTTAGACTCTTTCAAATTCCTAAAACTCCTTATAATTTGAAAGAAACGAAATTATATTGGGGCCAGGCACGGCCCATTTAAAATTTTAAACATCCTTAAAATCCTTAAAATTTTGAAAGCCCTGTGTCTGGCTTTCAAAATTTTAAAGAATTTCAGGGTGCTTTTAAAATTCTAAAAGGCCCTTTAAAAATTTAAAAGGCCCTTTAAAAATTTAAAAGACCCTTTAAAATTTTAAAGGCCTCGTTAAATTCTTTCAAATTTTGAAAGCCAGACACATGGCTTTCAAAATTTGAAGGATTTTAAGGATTTTTAAAGAATTTAAATGGGCCGTGCCTGGCCCCAGAACAATTTAATTTAAGGAATTTGAAGGCCTCTTCAAATTTTAAAGGGCCGTCTAAAATTTTAAAGGGCCTTTTAGAATTTTAAAGGGCCCTTTCAAATTTTAAACGGCCCTTTAAAATTTTAAACGGCCCTTTAAAATTTTAAACGGCCCTTTAAAATTTTAAAAGGCTCCTTAGACTCTTTCAAATTCCTAAAACTCCTTATAATTTTGAAAGAAACTAAATTATATTGGGGCGAGGCGCGGCCCATTTAAATTTTTAAAAATCCTTAAAATCCTTAAAATTTTGAAAGCCCTGTGTCTGGCTTTCAAAATTTTAAAGAATTTCAGGGTGCTTTTAAAATTCTAAAAGGCCCTTTAAAAATTTAAAAGGCCCTTTAAAAATTTAAAAGACCCTTTAAAATTTTAAAGGCCTCGTTAAATTCTTTCAAATT